AATAAATGGCATATGCATGTCGCCGTTTTTTTTATAGAGGATGCCAAAGGATTTATAAGTTAATTTCAGTCGATAAAGATGTATTGATGAATGTATTAGATCTCTTGTAAGGAATACAATTAATTGTGTGTGCATCTATTGGAGTTTGAGTTTGGAATCGCTGCATTTGCATCATGGAAAATCAATTTTTTAAACGAAATGAACTTTAAGATACGAAAAATCACGAGATGCAATGGCATATATCGCCCTGTCATTCATCGATTGTTCGTTGATTCTTCGTTTTTACAGAAAACACTAGAAATGTACGTTATTCATTGAATTCATTGAAATTATAGCCTTTCCCATTAGTATAAGTACTACGCAGTTATATGATTATTTTTGTGCGCGTAATGTGCATTTTTATATCTATATTTGCGTTTATAGAGACTTTCTTATAAAATGCTTGTAATCGAATTGGATTGAAAAATAATTTTTATTATCAACGATTATTATTGTTATTGTTACTAGTGCAAATAGCTGGCTGGATAAAATCTAAAATGAATTTATTACGAAAATTACTTTACACTGTACGATTATAAATACAATTGTTTCTTTCACTTCTCCTATCAAGCTTATATAAAAAATTGTAATTATAACAAAATCATTTGTCAATAATTAATTATATTAATTATAAATCAATTATAAATTATAAATAAATAATAATAATGGATTAAAAGTCAAAAGTCGCAAAAATATAGCATGCCTTAATGTAATAGAAAGTATGGATTCCGTAAGAGTATATTTAACAGGCGATGATTTATTGTGTTTTATTTATCTAAAAAAAAAAATGAATTAATACTTTGCAGTATTCTATAAAGTCGACGTGAAAATGTAAAATCATGTAGCCGATTGTTGTAAATAGTGGCATGAAAACGGTGACTCGTGTGCGGTTGCTGATATTTTTTCTTCAGTCTACCAAGGATTCATGTTAATGCGTGGTATTCAAGCTCCGTTCCAAGCTCCGCTCTTCATATAAAAACGCCATTGTTATGAAAACCGAAGCAGGAAAAACGATTGCCGCACTTTCTCAAACCGTCAATGGCTTCTATTCCCGAAATAACCTTAACTTCCAATTTCGAAAAAATGGGTGTGGAAGATACAGAATAATGCAATGGTGCACGTACGAGTTGCAGGCGGACGTGCGCAAGTCGTCCGAGCGTTACGCCTTCGCGACTAAGTAACAGTAAAAATAAATAAACCATCCAGTCATGAACGCTTTTCAAAATGAGTTTCGCGCACTTTCGCTCTCGACGCACATCGACAAGCGTTTTCTTGGTAATTTTTTTCTCTCTCAAAAACGGTTTTGCGAGACCTCGTGTTAAATTGGGACTGGCCACTTCCGTGCTCCATCGTGCTCCAACGATTTTTTATTTTCACAATTGCTCGGTACTTTTTGCACATTGGAGTACTGATGCGACATCTTCATCACGTGCAGTCGCAATCTATTTTGGAAATATAATATGTCCACGTTATTTGTTTACTCTTGAATTTAATAATGGTGTAGCATTTAATACACGGTACTTGCTTTCTTCATTTTGTTCTTTCTCACAACTTTTGTTTTAACTGCACTGAGTGCAGCAAATGCTTATCTATTTGGGCCAGATTTGCCGGTTAAATAATGTTACGTCTGTTCTTTTTTCTCGAAGTGCAACTTGCTGGAATACGTTTTCGTTGTGCAAATAATTAAGGTAATTTGCTCATGGCTAATATACATAATTGTGATCTGATTCTCACGATTTTCTCGCACTTGAAATATTCATAAGTTTTGTACTTGTCGTATAGTTTTATAGTTTACATTATGCCTACAACATTGAGATGGAATATGATTCCACGGTATTTAATACGTGGACATATAAATATCGATTTAAGAAGCACTTCAGAGCACCGACATTCTCTGGGACTTTAGCATTAATGGGCTTTTTATGGCGTCGTCGTTCATTATAAAATTCCATAAGCAAGTATTTAATTCGTCTAAAAAAAAAAAATGTAATCAAAGCCATCATTTCTAATGTCAAAATCGAATGCGAAAGTCGGAATAGTCGTGTTGTTTTGAAGCTTGAAATAGAGGCTCAACGTTGCTTCTATTTTTTCCATCGAGGTAAACGGCACTTGGCTAAAAACTAGAATAATATAAATAGTAGTATTGTAACGCGAGAATTTTCGTAATTACGTGTTTGTTTTATTCTCCCATTCCCCCTCAGGAACCATGAGAATGAAGTGGCTGTGAAACGAGAATGCACGAAATTGCAGAGAAAGGCGAGAAAGATAGTTGTTTAATTTATATATTTGTATTATTATAATCTATCAATTGCAACCAAAGTAAGAATGAGATTTATGTTCCTCCGGCTTATAAATAAATTATCGATAAAATAGATATTGTGCTTATAATTGTTATTGACTGATCATTGTGTATGTAGTAAGTTTTAAAATACCGGAATCTCATTAAAAACTACTAAGTGCAGATTGCCGAAAAGCTTTTATAAAACGAAAAGCCATGAATCTCTGTTGTTTGAATCAGAGGATATTAATTTGAGGATATTGATTAGAGGATGTTGATTAGAGGATGTTGCTTAGAGGATATATAATCTCATTGTTAATACTTAATAGAGTACAAAGTTTGCCTATATATATATTGTAAAATTAACGGATTTATAATGTTTATATTTATTTATAATTTAATTTGTCATAAATCGTAGTTATTCGTTTTTAATTTCGAATTTGTTCGTAGAATTATAAAAATTGCATTTATAAATTTAGTATATTCATAATGATTTAAAATCATTATTTGATTAAAAAAAATGTTTTTTTAGGACTTTTATTGTTTCCTTTATCCAAATTTTTATGAACAATTGATTACTTTATGTATTTTATACTTTAATACTCCAATATTTATTTCTGCTAGAGCAAGCATTAGCTAAGAAACTATAATTGAAGGAATATTTTGAAGGATTTTTAATATTTAATTGAATTTAATTTGAAGGATAATTAATATTAATTGCATTAAACAAGAAAACAAGTTTTCTTATAAAAAATTCTAATAAAAAAATGTAAATTTATATATGACAGTTATATTTCTATCATAATCTCATTTAATTATTTTACTATTTTCTTATTCGTCAAGTTATTTTATTTTTTATTATCATTTGTAATCATTTATATCCTTTATTTTTAATAAAACTACATTGTGTTTTACAAAAATTTATATTAAAATTATGTATGAAATGAATGAAAATTTGTCTAATTGTTTGTCGAATTTTATATAATTTATTGAAATTAGAATTTCATATAGATGATTATTCAATATTTTTAGACATCTAAAATATTCTTTAGGGAATTATAAGAACTTATAGATGGTTTAAACGATCAATTTTTAGAAGTATTACAACCTTTATTTATATAATTATAAAAATACAGACTTAGATTTCAATTAAATTTAAATTCTGAAAATTGCTAACATACATATATAAAGATATACTAACTTAAAAATTAATATAGTTTTTTGTCTAATGCATAAATATATAAAATAACTATTTAAAATTTTAAAATAGTATCCCTAAAGTGGATCAACACAATTTTTTATACAATTTTATTACGCATAATGCGTAATTTTATAAATAAAAAATAGCCACTTTGAAAGTAAACAATACATTTTTTATTTTATTCAGACGCCACCTATTTTATGTTGATAATTATTTAAGTATTCAAATAATTATGTAAAGGTATTAATAATTACTCAACGATGAAACTATAATTTTTGCTGTGTCATAGACTTTTTTAAATATTTGAAAGTAAATTGCGCAAATTTTTTTCTAACAAATTTTTCTTTAAATCAAGTATATTAGGTTTTGTTAAGAATTATATTTTTATCCTTTAAAAATTTCTGACTCTTCAATCGATATTTCCAATTTCCACTTTATTATGGTATATAATTTTTAATATTATTTTTATATACGATAAGTATTTTTAAATTTTATATAAATTAAATATATAAAATAGTAATAATAAAAATTACTTAATAAATTTCATTATTTGTATTAAAAATAAAGTCTAAATCTTAAATTGGAAAGAAATAAAAAATAAATTATTGTACTTTTTCATTGTAGAAAAAATAAAAATATTGCTGTTTTGTACTTATTTGCATAAATAATGCATAAAAATTATTGACTGATATTTATAATTTCTTGAACAGTATGTGCACAAAAAAATTAACAATATTCTAAGTAGATAAATAATAAAATAAAACATTGTATATATATATATATACATATATTAAAATATAAATAAAAAAAATCCCGATCCTGCCAGGATTCGAACCTGGAATCTTCTGATCCGTAGTCAGACGCGTTATCCGTTGCGCCACAGGACCGACGTGTGATATTAATTTCAATTATTTAATATCTACATATGATTGAATAATTAAATTTATTATTTATAATTTAATTCTATTAATTTTTACCCATATATTAATTATTTAAATAATAAGAACGACTTTAATCGATTAAACTTAAAATTACACTATTTTATTTTGAATTTATCAGTTTTATAAAAAATATTTACAAATTTTAATTGTTAATAATTATACAACATTGTTTATTACAAACTATATAATATATATCATTCTACAAATATACTAAACTCTCCTCTGTTTATTATTTATGAGTTAATAAATTGGTTAAGACGATATCAGTTTCCTAATTTGGCTAATATTTGATTTATGACTTTTCAATAATTATAAAATCAATATTTTTCTCCAATTTCATTTTATTTAGATCTTTTGAGAAAGAAATTAACAATAATGTATAAAGTACAGTATTAGCAACTCCTATAATGCTAATGGTATAAAACAAGCGCTTTATTGGAAGAAAATTTTTATTATCTATCTTCATCAAAAAACAAAATATTTATTCTTCTAATTAAAATTTAAGTAATACAAACGCTTTTCTATTTTATAATCCATTAAGTGAAAAATTAAATTTAAATGGTTCATTATAAGTATTCTTTGTCTTTATTGATTTTATAATTGGTAGTTTATCATCATTTTGAGATTTTTCATTTTTATTTGTTGTATTTGTCAAGAAATGCGCTTTCCTCAAAAACGATGATTTTTTGCCCAATTGTTTAGTATCGCATGTAATAAATTTTACAACTGATGATGTCTTGCCATATTTCTTTTCATCTTTTTCCATGTTAGATCGATAATCACCAAAAGTGTTTCTCATCACTTGTCGTTTCTTAATCAATGATGCATTATTACTTTTTAAAACATTTAAACTCTTAGTCAAATTATATATTTGTCTATCTTGGAGTTTCATATCTGTTAGCCCAGTTTGTAATTGCTGAATACACCAACATAATTCAAGTTCAAACTGATCCTCGGCTTCTTGATTGAGACCACTTGCTGTTTTATGAAGGCTTGTACTTAAATATGAATTAGACATCGAAGTATCTTGGTTTTCTTGGGATTTAATCAGTTTTGGTGATGGAACTTTATTACGTGACTGTAAAAAATTCATTTTATTGAATGTTTTGTGTAATAATATATTTTCTTAATCATAATACAAATTTTTATAAGGATAAAAATGGATTTTCAGAACAAATATTTACTGAATTTTCAAATTTTTAAAGACAAATACAAGTATACCTAACCTATCAAATACACAAGGCAAATTTATTAGTTTAACAATATATGAAAAATGTAGGACCTAAGATTATACTTACTAGCCTCAATTTTGTTGACATATTAGTTTACTGTCATTGATTATTCATATTAATATTAAGAAAATAATCAGTTAGTAAATAAGAATTCTTTTATCCAACTTTGTTCTTGCACCGATAGATGCGCACTGAGCATTTTAAAAATGATTTGTCGTATCCACTTGTCATATTTATGCAAATGTGTACACAACAATTTATAAATAAAATATATATTATACATCAATTTACAATAACAAAAAATGTTAAGTTATAATAAACACAGACTAAAACTCAAAATTAAATATTCTTTATATCAATTTCTATACCGTAGGCAATTATTTTTCGAATTATTATTTTTCAAACAGCTTTCTCTATTTTACACTTTGTATCAAAGTTCAAGAAAAATGTTCGCTACTTCATTTAGTAATTAATTTATTTGTAATAATTTAAAACTGTCTACGATGTATAGAAAAGATACGATGCATTATAACTTTGCATTAATTTCGACAATATTTATCGGGAAAATGAATTTTCATGAACAGAATAATATTTGTATACACTAGTCTACGAGCGCGATCAAGGCGTCGATATTTCTATATTAGAAGAAACATGTAGAGTGTATTACTCAAGTTTCTAATAGAAAGTGCTCACAATGCGAAAAGATCAGAGGAGTAGCTGATCCCAACAATTGAAGCATTCTGCGTATTATCGTGATGCTGACTGGACGAAAGGCCAACGGTTTGTATCGACTCCTCGAGGAAGAGGCAATATCGGTGAAGCAGTATATGCAATCACTACTCAACAATGAGTACTTGTGATAACAAGGATTAGCACAAGAGTCGTTTGTGATAGTAGACAATTGTCTGGGATCAGACTAAAAACCTCCTTATGATGGTGGGTGGAGGCTTGCTGGCAAGTGGAAAGGGCAATGCAATTATTCAATTCTGCCTTTAATGTTTATAGTCTTTACTTTTATTAAATATAATAAATAATGAATAGTTAATAATCTATGAATATTGGAATGAGTATGTGATAGTGTACAAAATGTAACTCGTCGTTCCGACTTGTTTTATCAAGGCCGGTTCGACGGATACAATTTGATGCCGTTGACAATTCAGAAACCACGGGTGTTGTGTGGTAGCGATGAAAGGTCACAAGTGGAAGGAATATTATATAATAATACAATATAAATGTGACTGAAGTATTTACTTTTATTGTTATTTATTGTTGACAAGGTTGACTATTATTAGTATTATTAATTATAGATTAACTCTTGGGTTGAAGTAATGTGTTGCGGAGACAAATGTACAGTAATCTATGCAGCTTGATTGTTGAATACGAATGGTGAATGGTGCGAAGTTTCGTTCGTCGACACTAGCACCTTTTGAACGAGCACGTGTGTGGTTGAGGTTATGAATGCAGCTTTATGATTGAAAGATATCGCAAAGCGGCGCGAAACTGGATTCGTCGACACTTGCGCTGTGTGTTGCTTACTTTCGTAAGCTTCCGAACTTGAACTAAGGTGAGGGTTGCTCAAAATGAGACGCCCCTGGCGAGCGCAAAACTGGACGACAAGACATATATAAGACAAGCACGCGGCGTGCCTCGCTCTCTTGCTGAAGCTCCCTCTTAATGAACTGCGCTTGCTGCAAATATCTTGCCGTGACCTAACCGCAGTGAACCGACCACAATGAACCGATCTAACCCTCTACCAGTAGAAGCCATGGCACACGGGTCTCGATCTGCCCTCAGCAGGACCGCCATGGAACGGTCGGTATTTTTAGCAGAGCCGCCGCGGAACGATCAAGCCTTCGGTTTCGTGCGCGTATTTAAAAGTCTTTGGTTAAGAATAAGAGACTCCGTTTAGTAAGGCAATAAAATATCTGGCAAGTAATATCATGAAAATTGTATTTAAGACTTCAAAACTTTCCTGCTCATAATTATTTTGCACTAGTGTCATAAAACATCTGGAAAACTCTAGCGGAACGTGCTCATGCTCCCAGTGTAGTTGAACTTAATGAGTTTATTACCGGGAGAACCCTAAAGTAGATTCAGAACGAATATCAGATATGCGTAAAGCATTGAGTACAAAACATTTCCTATATTCACTGCAACCGAAAACCCGTACGTACTACACATGCAATGACCATACGTGCGCACTCGGCCTTTAAGACAATGCTTGCATTGTTCTTGGCTATGCCACAACTGGTCGATCGCATTGGAAAATTGATCACGCCCAAGCGGACCCTTCTTCTAGCCAAGTCCCAGAGAGGGATGAGGCAACCAAGGAAAGGTGACCAATGGAAAAGGCTCGCCACCTTCCGACAAGTGGAAATGAAGGCGTGCATGATCTATTGTGCGACCCAAGATCAACCACTGATTGGTTAATTAATAAAGGAAGAAGGGATCCCAAGTGGAACTGGGTCAGTGAACTATTTAAGAACGAAAATGTGCTGTACCACCACTTCTCTTTCCAAATACTTCTTACAGTAAAAGGATAAGTCACGACTTACTCTTTCCTAATACTACTCACAGTTGAAGGACAAGTCACGACCTACTCTCACGAAGGAGGACCGGAGATTCAAGTCGTTTAGCCGAGTTTTAATAGTTATTTATACGATGGTGAATTAGTATATACATTTGTAAAAAATTATATCGCAATAAGGACAATGTCAATTATCCTAATGAAGAAAAGCATGAAGCAAATAATATCTGATAGTAAAATAATATTTAATAATTGAATAATAGTTTGAAGTAATTTTTATAACATAAAATAAAAAGCCAATAAGAAATGTCAATATTTGTTGATATTTTTTTAAATTGATAAGATAAATTTCGAATCAAGCAATAACAAATTTTCAGTCTAAAATTAAGAATAATTTGCGCTCCATCTCGGCTCTCTTACGACCGATATTTAAAGGCAACTACACACGTGTTAAGATAAACACAATGGCATTCCAGTGTTTGATCAGAGCACTACAATCATGATAACCTCTTAGCGATAATATTCAATAGATTATAACCTGCTTCATTCATAGTAAATATATTTCAACACCACAAGATTATCAAGAAATATAAAGTTCGTCTGTAATTCACCCTTTTGTAAATCAATTCAAATAAATAGAAATAATAAAGACATGTGTTAATTATTAATCAGTGCATTCACCCTTTACTTGCCCGGCAACCCGACACAACATCTAGTGGGTTTTTTCTTCTAAGTTAATTATCGCACGTTTGGCTGACGAGTCAAATTGTGGGATTATTTTCCGAACAGTCTTAAAAGCTCATTGTAATTCTACCTTGCGTTCACTTAACTGTTATTACCATTCAGTGTTTTAGTATATACTGTTACGACGACACGTGGCCATATATTCGGCAGCCTAGTTAAAAATACACATGTGCATTATTAAAAAGAATCAGCAAGATCAGGTAGTGATTTTTCAATGAAGCCAATGGAATCTTAATAAAAAAGGAGTACACCCGCCACGCAGCAAAATCAACATACCTTGTCGGTAGTTTACAAGCTACATCTCTTTATATTATTTTAAATAAGCTAGTCACCCACGCGCAAATTAAGTTTACATAACTTCTATTCAAAGAGTCGATACAGGTGATGGAGTACGCTCTTTCAGACTAACAATTCTGAGAACGTACATTCACCTCCATACAGTCGACAGGTGACGCAATACGCTCTCGCAGGCAAACGAGCCAGAGAACGTTGGTTTACCCCACTACAGTCGGCAGGAGACGCAATACGCTCAATTACATTGTCAAGGCCAGGCAACAGTTTATCAAATAATCGACTACAAATACATTTTTATCAAGTTCTTCGGAGCTCAAAGGCTTGTAATTTATTATCTTGCGTGTGACTAGTTTTCAACTGCTCCCATCCTAACTAGAGACATCATTGATTACGTACCAACTTCCATCAACGCTTTTTTACACAATTAAGTATTATCATTCTTTCTACCAAGCATACTTGATTCCAACCACCATCTTTTCAGGCTCATGAATGAGCATGATCGACTACACAGGCTGATCCTTACAACATCAGCATACAACGACATTCAAGATCCACAGTAATCTCCATAGCATTAACAACATCACCCTGAAAAAATAACCTCACCACAGCAATAGAATATTTTTCCTTCTCTCACCAGAAGCAATCAAACTGCAATATTATAATAATTGTGTTCGAGATTGTGAAACCATTTTCAATGCAATAAAACATCTGGCAAAGCAACATCATTAAATTGTCGATAGTCATCAGTAAAATTCCTGCTCATTTTGTATCAAGCTAGAATGTCATGAAACTCGATCATAAAGCTTAAAGAAAACCCTCTCACTGACGTCGGAGATACGAAAAGGTCAGTACATCTGGAAAACCCCGAAAATTAGTCATGCTAGTTACTTCGCATTGCCAATGCGTTCATTGTTTGACGCGTTAATGACATAACTGTTTACTGGTACGACCGCGTCGAATCTGCTTGTACTAGAACAATGTAAATGCCAGATTTACAAAAAACTCTTAATCATAAAAACATTTCCTAAATTTCACTGCAACCCAAAACCCCAGCACGTGCAACATCGGGCAATTGGCGTACGTGCGAATTCGGCATCTTATGACAATGCTTACATTGTTCTCAACTGCACCGAATCCTGCCGATCGTGCTAGCCAATCGACAGCGCTCCCAGAGGACCTCCCTTATCGATAAGTCCCAGAGAAGGAAGAGAAGACGAATAGTATATGCCCCCCCCCCTTCAGACACTTTCCCGTTTTTAGCATATTCAAGACTAAACCCGGAAAGAAG